AGAGGAGTGTGTTGGTGTAGAGGAGTGTGTTGGTGTAGAGGAGTGTGTGGATGAGAGGAGTGTGTTGGTGTAGAGGAGTGTGTGGATGAGAGGAGTGTGTGGATGAGAGGAGTGTGTTGGTGTAGAGGAGTGTGTGGATGAGAGGAGTGTGTTGGTGTAGAGGAGTGTGTGGATGAGAGGAGTGTGTTGGTGTAGAGGAGTGTGTTGGTGTAGAGGAGTGTGTGGATGAGAAGAATGTTAACTGTTCAAGAAAAAGAATGGTTAAAGGGACTTCACACTTATTACCAACTGGGCTTGTTTTAGACTGTGAAATTTATACTGTATATAAAACAACAACAAAATTGAAAACAAAATCAATATCATCTCTGAGTAAAACTAAGTTGGTTTCGTAATTTATAAATTAAATAACCTCACTACCATATCTAACTCTTTAAAACACACTGCAGCAGAGCAATTATATTAGCTCTGAACACTGCAAACAAAATTAAGTAAAAATCAGCCCAATATGCAAATTTTTCTTCAAAATATTGTACAAATGTTAAAAACTACACTGCAATGTCCTTTAACTTCAATTGAAAAAATATAAATAAATCACTTGACAACCCAAAAGTGTGATGATTTAATATATGAAAATAGTGCCTCAACAAATGCCTTATACAGTTTCAGGATAACTTAATATTTGGAAACATTGTGTAGAAAATAATCTAGATGGGGAAGTACTTATCAGTATGACAACATTATTTAACTTACAATAGTATCTAACAATTTTGTTATTGTCAACTTACCGTGATGTAGTGTGGCGGTCGTGTGGGCTGTGTAAGGGGGCCAGAGCGGGGTGTGGAAGGCGTGGAAGGGGGTGTAGCGCTGAGGGGGGACCCAAGTACTGTAGGAGGCGAGGCAGAAATGGTTAGGGTTAGTCGGGTGGAGGAGGAGCAGAGCACCTAAACCACACGCTTGGAAGCATGAACTAGGCCCTTCAGAGTTCTGGCTCTGGTATCCAATCTTTGGTTAGAATAACTTAATTGTTTTTAAATAATTAATAATAAATAAATTCACCATTAAAAGCATAAATCATGAATTCAATTATGGACACAACACAAAAATCTTGAATAAATACAAAAGATTAACATACACCAACTAAACTCAGGTTATACAATACAGTACTCTGTACAGTATTAGAAGATTATGGTTCCAAGGCATTACAGTACAAGTTAACACAGCTTGCAACTTAATGAAACAGACAAACATGCAACCTTATTAATAGATGGTAATAATTGTCACAAACATAGAATTATTGAGTCGAGTTTCACTAAGAATTTCAATCTTGAAAAAAAAAATATAAAATGCCCTAAAATTATATTTACTGTACCTGTACTGTACTATGTATACACAATTACAGTACTGTACATATATACATTATTGTACTTGCTACAGTAATTAGCAATAATGTAATTCAATATATATTTAATGGACATTGTGAGGATGCAGGAAAGACGAGCACCATGCATTACTGTTTGAAACACAAAAGTTAGTGTATTTGTCCAGCACACACGAGCAGGAGGTTGACGGGGAGAACACCGGTCGTGCAGGTAGGAGACAACCAGTACCTCCCAGCTCTGTTGTTGTGTAGAGTGCATCAGTTGGGGATCCTTGAAAAGAAAGTGGCTTGGGCTGAACAGCTGCACCAGGAACCAGAGGCACAAACCTCCTAGGACCCACTGGGACACCTGGACTTGACTCAGCAATCTTGGACGGACTCGGGTGGTCTGACTCTGCTTCACTGTCTGAATATGGGTCACCAGAAATGGGACGGAATTGGGCTTGCTTCTTGGGCACAAATTCAGGAATCATCTTGCCCATGTACTGCTGATACTCACGGTCTGTTTCGGAGATGTCGGACTGAAGAGATGGATGAGGGGAGAGGTGATCCATTGTAGGAGCTTGGACGGATGTGCCTTTTGTCGATGCAGATTCTTCAACTGATGCAGCTGGTGAGTCTTGGGGTCCAGTAGTCTCCATATGATGGACATGACCATTGGTCTTGGTAAAACATTTCTCAGTTTTTTTAAAACCATCAGTTTTTTCATGAATGACAGGAATAGGGATGTCTGAACTGTGTTCCCCATTTACTTGTTTTTTCTTCTCTACCTTCTTTGCTTCTCCAGGTAGGATGACACCAAATTCATAACCAAAGTCATATTTGAAGTAGATTAGACCTGTATCCGGGTCAATATGTTTTGTGCCTAAAGGAGAAAGGTGGAAAGCATTGCTTAAAACCTTAAAACTATTGATGTGAGATGCACTACTACAGTACTTGCATCTGTCATTTATCAAGATTAGGTAAAGAAAGAAAAATTCTTCCATCACTAAATAGGTATTAAATATCAGGATGAAGGTTGAAAGATAAAAGATGCATAAATTTAAGTATTCAAGCAAAAAATACATTTCACTATTATCTATTCAGAGATCAAGACTTTACCCTTCCCTTTCAAGGATGATCAGCTCTTACAACTGTAAGATGCTTGTTGATGTGTGTGTGTGTTTATAATCACCAGCACAGCAGATATCCTCACCAGCAGTAAAAAAAAAAAAATGTTCAACAGGTGTCAAGCATCAACCGGTTAGGCCCAAACAATTTGTCATATGAATTGGCTAACCACAGAACCCACAGATCTATATGTGGTATGAGGAACTCCAGAGACAACTATGTGGTGATTTAGAATACAGTATTATTGATATGGATATGTATTTTTGTAAGCTCCGAGGGGGAAAACGTAAAGATATTTTGTGAATACGAGCTAGAACGAATATGCATCCCAGCCGGGGGAGACGCCATGGCGTTGTTTACATCCCAAAGACGCGTCGGGTGGGCCCAGTAACAGGTGTGTCCCACGTATTTCTTGCTCTGTTAGAGTGTGTTTGATAGATTGAGCATAATAAATGTTATATGAAGAATGTGATGATCTCGTGGAGGTAGTCTGTAAGCCAGAATAAGGCTAATTCTAGCTTTGCTCTACAGACATTCACCCTGGAGTGAGTCGACAACAACAGCCACTCCCCTGTGTTATGCTGGTGGGTTGGGTTTATTATTTATTGTTTAATTCCTACGACTGTGTGTTACAAATATGTGAATATGACAACAGTTGACGCTTGTTTTGTAAGTATAACGTAATAATGTGTAATAACTAGTTATGTCTGATCTAGGTCCCAGCCTTTTCCTTCTCGGGTGATTTCTAGAGTAAATAAATGAGAGAAAACTACAAGTGTGTTTCCTATCCCTGCTTTGTGCTTTGCTACATATATACTGTATATATCCCTGCCCAAAGTTCCATCTTGCCTGGGAATCAAACGTAAGACCTCTTTCTTGCAGGATATCCATACTATTCAGTACAGCATACGTATATTGATAAGTAAATGAGTTTTGATTCCTGCTTTTCCTTGTACACATATTTTTACTGAAGCATGTGTGACACAAACACCTCTACAGATATAATGGCTTCTCAAAGAAAAAACAAATATTTTCTTCACTTTCAAACATTTTCCTGTTTATTGCACCTGGGCAAAAACAAGAGCATCTGTTGTACACACATTCCCCTTCATCTGTTGTCATTATATACATCAACAGCAGATGATCTATAACAAGTACACTCTCAGTCCAAAGACATTACTATTTATGAAAAATAATCAGGAGACGAGAGAGAGACGATTCAATAATATTAGAGGAAGAGGAATCCGTATAAGATTAAAGGTATACTGTACTGTACTGTACAGTATTTTTCTCCAGTGAGTTCTACAATGTACAGTCGACCACGAGAATAAGTATACACCTACGGCTCGTGTTTGAGACAAAATATCTGGTAACACTGTCCCGAAAAGAACAAACAAAATTACAAATTGACCTGTAATTCATGTTTTATTCCTACATATATGCTTTAAATACATTTGTTGTGAATGTTTAACTAGCGTCTTGTCTTTATATTACAAGTAATATATTGTATCCAATGGCAGTAAACTTGTTGCTGAATGGAATTGCGGTTATCGTACAGCTCCCTCCTCCCCCCCACTTTTTCTCTTACCCTACTTATTTTACTGATGTTTGGATTGGTAAAGGAAGCAAGAGGAATAAATAGAAGAATGAAGAAGGGGAAACAGTAAATAGCTAGAGATAATAGGTCGGGGGGGGAGCTGAGTTTCATCATGCATCTGGATGGGCAGTTTCAGCGTTACCAGACCATTTTCGGACCCATTAGCTACAGTGTGTATACTTACGCCTGTGGCCGACTGTACTTTTCGACTGCCATATACAGTTCGTGTTTTCTTCTTTCCTTGTGGTTATCAGGCATATATATATATATATACCTTCCAGTCTGTACTCACCTGAAGATGTGAATTACACTGAAATTCTTTCCTTGTGTTTTATATATATATATATATATATATATATATATATATATATATATATATATATATATATATATATATATATATATATATATATATATATATATATATATATATATATATATATATATATATATATATATATATATATATATATATATATATATATATATATATATATATATATATATATATATATATATCAGTTGTTTATATAGATGCCAACCTCTCCTCATTAAGTATCAAGTTTGTATGGCAACTCACCAAATTCAGATACTCTGGATTCATCTCTGTATGCCTGAGGTTCCTGGGTAGTTGGTGACAAGGCTGTGGAAGTTGGAGGCACGGCAGTGGAGTCTGGTGAGACAGAGTGTGTCCTCAACTCCTCTGGTAGTGATGGAGGTTCACCTGCTGGCTCAGCTGGCACTGAGCCCTCCCTGGCAGCAAATACCTCTGTCACTAACTGCTCAGCAAACTTTTGTGCTTTGTGGCGGAATGTCTGGGTCATGTCGTCAAACTGATTGCTAACTGTTTCTGAAAATAAATTAGTTATTTATTTTAGCTTATGGTACATGCCAGTTATTATCAAAATTAGCATATTATCTTTTCACAATATCAAAACAAGCTGTGCAGATAGAAAGAACTTAAAAATATATACTGTACACTTTAATATTAGGAGAATTCTTCCTCCTCAATACAACTTACTTTGAGCAGACTTCACATATCTTCTGTCAAGACCATCTTTTGTATGTGATTCAGGTTCAGTCTCAGTGTCAGTTGTAATGACTCCTTGAGCTTGAACAATGGCATCCTCCTCCAGATCAAAGGGTTTGAACTCTACCTTAGGGAACCTTGGAATAGAGTATTCCTCTAAGGACTCTCTTCTCTCCCTTCTGGGCAAATCTGAGAGTTCCATGACTGGGCGTGGTGGTCCTTCAAACTGAGGTGGCTGATCAAACTTAGACGGGGGTGATGGGTCCCTGCCTAAGGATTCACTTCGCTGCTTCATAATTTCTCCAATAGGAGGAGCAACTCGCCGGTAAACATGTTCCTCACCTTCACTGTCAGGTGGCACCCACTTAGGAGCAATTGGTTTTTCATAGTCACTCTCATAGTCGCTACCTCTAAACTCTCCCTTCATAAATTTCTTTGGCTGTGGTGGAGGAGGACCTCGCTGTCGCTTAGGTCTGCTGGGATCTGGTTCATATGGAAATGGCTGAAGTTGTGGAAAAGGCTTTGTCTGGCTAGCTTCTATATCTACTTTTTCATGATCCGATTCAGAAACAAAGTCATAAATATCAGTAATATCAATGTCAATCTGGAAACCTTTTTTGGCTTCAATCTTTTTTCTAATCATCTTAATATGAACATCTTCTTTCTCTTCTGCTGGTGTTACTTTCATTTGAACATAACCAATTTCTGGCTGTGGTCCAGGCTCTGGTAGAGGAGGACTGGGTGTCTCATATACCTGTGGCTCTGGTTCCTTAGGTTTCAATACAGGTGCTTTTGGAGTTACCTTTAGAATTTTCGATGGTGGTAGTTCTTTAACTTTTGGTATAATGATTTCAGGGGAAGGCTCTTTCACAACTAACACAGGTGCATCTACTGAATCTATTGTTGGACGTAAGGGTCCCCCCAAAGAAGGAGGAACCTCAAACTTTGAAGGTGGAGTGGGAGTGCGTTCCTTGCTCTTGGAAGGCTGTCTTTCTGTGGGTGGAGGAGGTCTTACTGGAGTATACTCTGGATCTTCTGCATCACTATCTGGTGGCTTCCACTTTGGGCGGACTCTACTCTCATAGTCACTGTCATAATCACTTTCCCTAAACTCTCCCTTAACAAATTTCTTAGGTTTAGGTGGAGGTGGACCTCTTTCCTTTCTGGGTTTATCTTTATCTGGTTCAAATGGGAATGGTTCTAGGTCTGGATATATTTCTATCTGTACAATTTCTTGTTCTGATTCAGCTGGTGGTGGAGGTCGTTTTGGAACATGTTCATATTCTGTGACAACAGTCTTTTTCGTTTCCATTCTCTCTTTCTTCATTCTTAGTTCTTCTTCTAGTTTCAAATTTGTAAAGGTCTTCTCGGTTCTCTCTATTACCTTTGTGTAGGGTTTTTCTTCATATGTTTGAATTTCTCTCACTGGAGGGGTAATTACTCTTGACTTGAGGTCTACTTTATCCACAACATATTGGGTCTCCTGCACAATTATGCCTTCTTCTGGAGGAGAACCTGGTGAAGGAAGAGGAGGTGACACTGACCTTTCCCGAGGCTCCACCAGTTTTTTAGGTATTACCTTGGCAGTAAATTTCTTGGGTGGTTCAATTTTCTTGGGTAATTCTTTAGGAATTACAACTTCAAGACTTTGCTCTTTCTGAACAATTATTTGAGAAGGTTCAATGACTGGTCGCCATGGACCTCCACTTCCAGGTGGAGTATCAAAGACAGTAGGAGGAGTGGGAGTTCGTTCTCTGGTCTTTGAAGGTGTTCTGTCTGATCGAAGTTGTGGTTTCACGGTGGTATAACTGAGGTCTTCAGCATCACTGTCAGTGGGTTGCCATTTAGGTTTGATACGTCTTTCATAATCACTTTCATAATCACTTTCAGTAAATTCACCTTTTTGAAACTTCTTCGGTTTGGGCGGTGGTGCACCTCTGTCTTTCTTCGCTTTTTCTGTCTCGGGAGAGAATGGGAATGGCTCCAAAGGTGGAAGAGGCTTCAGTTTAGACTCTTCTTTATGTAATGGTCTTGACCTTGATTCAGAAGTCTTAACATCATGAGTCTCAGTTGAGGAAGCTGTTCTCGAGTCTGTAAACTTGATAACACGCGTAGTCTGTTGCATAGTTACAAATCTCTGGTGGTGTTTACTAGAATCTGCTATTTTTGTGATTTTAGTTGACTCAACACCAATAGCATTAGAATATGGTGCAGACTGTGTCTGAGGTGGTGGCACATAGTCTTCTATGGGTGGTGATCCAGGCTTTAAAATGGGTGAGGGAGGTCTTTTTGGAGGAGGCTCTTTTTTCTGTGGCTGTGATTTATAAATCTTTGGCTCCTTGGGAACTATCCGAGGTGGTTCTGGTCGACTGATAATCTCAACATTTTCTGGAATAATTATTTCTGGTGATATTTCTCGTTCGGGTTCAGTTTCAGACTCTGGAAAATCGACCTTTGGCCTGGGAGGTCCTTCAAACTTTGGAGGCTCATCAAAGGCTGTAGGTGGGGTTGGTGTTCTAACATGAGGCTGAGGAACTTTCAGTGTGCTAGGTGGTGGCTTTATTTTTCCATAGCTCTGATCTTCAGCATCACTGTCACTTGGCTTCCACTTAGGTGGAATACGACCTTCATAGTCACTCTCGTAGTCACTTTCGTGGAACTCGATCTTTACAAACTTGCTGGGTTGACGTGGTGGGGCTCCTCTTGGCATCTTAGGCTTTTCAGGATCAACTTTGAATGGAAAAGGTTTAAGATCAAGCTCTTCTTTCTCTCTCTCCTGCTTTGTTACAGCTTGCTTCACAAGTCCAGTTGACTTAAGAGGTTCAATTTTAGGAACTTTTGCTTGTGAAGTAATAAATGATTCTTTTAATGATTTGTCATGCTGAGGCTTTTGAACTGCCTTAAACTTGGGCTCAGAAACTGGTGTCATCTTTTTTATCACTTTTTCTTCTGTTTTTTGCTTGTCAGTGGACTTAGTTAGCACAACTGTCTTCACTTTTTGTGTATCATGCTCAACCACCTTAACTGCAGTCTTCACTTTCCCTACAGTTGTATCCTGAGAAGCTGGTTTTGCTGCTTCTTTTTGCTGCTTAACAGGTTTTGAAACCTGTTGCACTTTCTCAATTTTTGGTTCTTTAATTGCTTTCCTGTCTAATTTCGGTTCCACTTTAACTGTCTGCTTCTTGGGTGGCTGTGGAGTCACATCTACACTCGTACTTTCAAACACTTCAACCTTCTTATCTGACATTACTTCTACATGTGTCTCACTCTTGAATTCAACTTTCTTTTGAGTCCTGGATTTATCTGTTGAGACATCACTCTCATCCTTCATAGCATAATAAGTGTCTTCTGAGAAGGGTCCCGATGTCCCTGGCTTTCCTTTTGTTTCTTTTCTATATTCTTCAAATTTGGGTTTCTTTTCTTGGTGCGGCGGAGGTGTTGGTTTTGTCGTCTTGGGGCCGTCACTCCCTCGCCTTTCTTCATGAACTTCCTCTGACCTGCTAGTAAACATCTGTAAAGAAAGAGGGACCCAAAACTGATATATGATGTGTGCATCATTATTGTCATGATAATCTGGTCTTTGGAACTTATGAGTACACCATCCAAGGTTTGCGAATTTTAAATTTCAAACTCTTTAGTAGAATCAGTAATTGTTATTCACTTGGTCAACACTTGCTCAAGGTCATTAAAACAAAGTTTGTTAAAAAAAAAAAAACGTTCTCAAATCCAATTTCCAAGACCGTATCATATTTCGGGTAAGTTTATCAAGGCCATCCATAAGAAATCCAACATTCACCTATATAACACATACTGTACTGTATACATGAGGTACTTACAGGAATGGGCTCTGCTGATTGCATGGCTCCCAGTCTAATAAGAACTTGAAAGATGTAAAACATAAATGGATAGGACGGCAAAAGAGGGAACAAAATCGAGATACCCCAAGTGCACTAAAAAGCCATTGAAAGAAAAAACAAAAAGATAAAAGATAAATATAGCAGATACACAGTTTTTTAGTGAATTAATTGGTTACAGCCGGAAGAGAAAATGGCCGACGTGGAGAACATCACACAGTTTCATTTACAGGGAGAAAAACAAACTTACTTAAAATCTCACGTTTTGCATCAATTGCTGTTTAGCAGGGAAATGACCATAGTTTTTTAACCTGTCCAGAAAGAAAATTGCATTAGAACAGAATATTGGGTTGTAAGGCGCATTGTATGTCCAATATGCAGGTTCTAAGACAACATGCACAAGTGCATGCAAGCCATTATAAACAGGAAAACAGTTAAGAGAAACAGAAAGCTACAAAGATTTGACCCTGGGTTAAACATTATTAGTGATATCGACATCTAACACGGCTAATGACGACTCAGGCTACACTATTGCCAAGAGGCGTTAAAAGGCACCGGTAGGCTATTGTTTACGAACCTGGGAAGATTTACTTTCTGACGACTTGAATGAACTGGAGAAGTGCGAGGTCTGGCCTACTGAAGAGGCGGGGGCGGAAGGGAAGGGAAAGGAACCCAAGGGGAAACTACCTTCAGGAGGCAGACCACCACTGGCAGGGGCACCAAAGCCAGAGGGAAATAATGGAGGTTCTACTTGACCAAAACCAGAACTTGATGAAAAGTCTTTACTCTCATTCTTGGAGAACGATGAAGACATAAAACTTTCACTTTTTGAAAATGAAGAACTAGAAGTAATGTTTGATGAACTCATTGACTGATTACTCTTTATATTGCGGCGTGGCAGAGTTCCTTCAGTATCTGCTGCATAACCGCTTTCTTCCCTCTCTTGAGCAGTCATCTGTAGATTCTCTGTCTTCTTTCTGGACTTTGGAGATGATGGCTTTGTTTTCATGTTACTGGAGCTTGAGGTTTTATCTGCACCATCAGCATCATGAGCCACAGGGATATATCGGACTGAAGCTTCACTTGTAGAGGGGGTTGGGGCAGCACTTGGCACTGGGGCAGGTACTTGGAATGGTACAGCTCCAACAGGTGGTGGTGGTGGTGGTGGTGACTGTACCCCAATAGTGGAGGGGCCCGGAATATGTGCAGACACCACAACACCCTGTGGCATTGGAGCTGGACCACTGCCCTCAAACATTTTCATCATACCCTTCACTCCTCTCTCTCGCTTCTCTGTAGTTTGAACCTGTGAACCTACTTGTTTAACTTCCGTCTTAACAATCATCTCGGAAGATGCTGATGAAACATTTGTAGTCACCTTCATTTCTGGTTGACTCAAATAGGTCGGTGCTACAGATGTGGGTTTTACAGCTTGGGGCACCACTCTTGGAGCAACAGCAGGTGATGGCTTGGCTGGAGTGAGAGGAGCAACAGTAGGTGATGGCTTGGCTGGAGTGAGAGGAACAACAGCAGGTGATGGCTTGGCTGGAGTGAGAGGAGCAACAGCAGGTGATGGCTTGGCTGGAGTGAGAGGAGCAACAGCAGGTGATGGCTTGGCTGGAGTTAGAAGAGCAACTTTAGGAGCAGTAGGTGTTATAATGGGAGTTTTCTGCTGCACAAACTTCTGAGTTTGCTTTATAGGTTTATTTTCTGGAGTTATTTGACAAGCTAAAGATTTTGTTGTGCGTATTACATGTTTACTTTGGCTTATTGTAGGTCCAGGTACAGGAGTACTCTCTCTTGAAGTTGGAATATCTGAATCTACATCTGAGAAAACACTTAGTGGCTTAAGCTTGACTTCAAAAGGTTGAGGAGGACCCAACGTGGAGGGTGGTGGTGGTGAAGGTTGCTTAGGCTTCTTTGTTCTCCCCTTTTTCATTTTCACATTCATTGGTCTAAAACCTGTTGCCTCACTGTCACTCATATACAGTCTGGAAAAGGAACTTGCTGTTGTGTCATAATCACTCTCATAATCACTCTCAGTAAAGGAGCCAGGAACAAATTTCTTTGGCATGGAGGGAGCCTTTCCTCTTGGTTTCTTCCCCTGGTCAGGTTGGGCTTCAAATGGAAATGGTTCTAGGGGAGGAAGTTGTATTATTGGAGACACAACAGAACTCTCTCTGGGAGGAGCAGATGATTCAACAAAAACTTCCTTCTTTGGCTTAATTTTTGGTATTTCCTTAACAGGTGGCAGGACTGGAGTTTGAATGGGTGCATGTGTCAACTTTTTGGACCCTGCAGTCACTTGTTTTTCTGAAACTATTTTTGCATAACTCTGCTTGGCATCCTGCATAGTTTTCTCTGTCTTAACTTGTTTCCTTGAGGTTGTCTGAGACATCTGTTGTGACATCTTTACCATCTCCTGTTTTGAGGTTACTGAACTTGATTCATGAACAGAAGCAGAAGATACTGTTTGCATCTGAGGAGCTGCTTGAGGCCATGACATCCTTTTCTCCTGAAGGGTAACATTGCTTGACCAATATATAGAAGGTGGGGCTTCATGTGGCCTTGCAGGAAGTGTGGAGGCCACTGTCACTTGAGGTCGTTCTAAGGACTGAGAACGTATTTGCACTGAGGAAACAACACTTTGTGCTTCTCCTTGAGAACTTGGAGGCCATGCGGGGGCCTTTTTACTGACCCAAGGAGGCCTAGAAACTAACTCGGATGGAGGCTCAGATTTCTTGACAGACTTAACAGTAGATTTACTTACTTGCTTTTCAACTTTTTTACTTATAATTTCTTGTGTAGTTTTAGTTACATGGGTTGTTTTTACTTCAGGCACAATGGCAGGCTTTGTATAAGTTGTAAAGTCAGGAGGAGTCATGTCAAATGGTGGTGGAGGAGCAGACTTCACTTGGCTTGGCTTTGGTGGTGGTGGTGTAGCCTTTGGTGTTGGCGCTCGCACGGGTCTGAATCCAGGTGCAGCAGTAAAGTCAACCAGAGGTTCTACCATTGAAACAGGGGCTGGTTCTGATTGTATTGCATATTCAGGAGCAGGTTCTGGCTGCAGGTCATACACAGGAGCAGGTTCTGGCTGCAGGTCATATACAGGAGCAGGTTCTTGCTGCAGGTCATATACAGGAGCAGGTTCTGGTTGCAGGTCATACACAGGAGCAGGTTCTGGTTGCAGATCATACACCAGTGCAGGTTCAGGGACATACACAGGTGCAGGTTCAGGTTCAGGGACATACACAGGTGCAGGTTCAGGTTTTGGGACATACACAGGTGCAGGTTCAGGTTTTGGGACATACACAGGTGCAGGTTCAGGTTTTGGGACATACACAGGTGTAGGTTCAGGTTTTGGGACATACACAGGTGCAGGTTCAGGTTTTGGGACATACACAGGTGCAGGTTCAGGTTCAGGTTCTGGGACATACACAGGTGCAGGTTCAGGTTCTTGAACATATACAGGTTCAGGTTCTGGGATATATACAGGTTCTGGTTCTGGGATATATACAGGTTCTGGTTCTGGAATATATACAGGTTCAGGTTCTGGTTGAATAACATACTCTGGTGCAGGTTCTGGCTGAAGGACATACTCGGGGGCAGGTTCTGGTACTAAGACTGGGGCAGGAGTTAAAATTTGCTGCGACTGTTGACTTATTTTAGCTTGTCTTGTCTCATAACTCATAGAAGTCATCTGTGTCTTTGTTTCAGAGAAGGATGACACTGAAGATGCCTGCGTCTCAGAGAAAGAAGTCCTATCAGTTTGTATTGGTTGTGTCAGGTGAGGCTCTGGGTGTGGGGGCCAGGATGTAGAAAGTTTTCCTCGTGTTCTCAGAGTCTCAGAGCTAACATCCATCATCTGTTCTGGTGAAGGTTGCACTACATGATGCTTCTTAGGTTCAAGTGGTTTCTTTGGAATTGGCTTGATTATCGTTTCCTCTGCACTCTCGCCTGCAGCAGCCAAAAACTTCTGTACAATTTTTGTCTTTTTCTTTGGTGTGATAGATTTTGGTGCCTCTTTCACTACTTCCTCTTTCTTAAGGATTTCAGGTCTCATTCCACCATCAAACACAGGTGGAGTATCAAAAGCTGATGGAGGCAAAATCTCTTGGCCAACTGATGCTGGGCGAGGCAGTGGCTCTTGTGCTTCAAACTTAATTTTCTTAAGTTGGAATCTGTGTTCAGGCTCCATATCACTCTCGTATTCACTGTCAGTGAAGGACCCAGGAATAAATTTACGGGGCACTGGAGGAGGTAAACTACGTGGTCGTTCTCTCCTTGGTTTCTCTTCAACAGTGAAAGGAAAAGGCTCAAGTTCTGGGAATTTTTCTCCAAACAACTTATCATCGATAGTGGGCGTTGCTCTGGCAGATGAAGTCTCTTGGGTTGGAGTAGGAACATCCCGAACTGGGGTAGAAGGCTGCTTGGGACTTGGAAACATTCTTATCCCACCAGGTACCTCATCTGGAGACATTGGAACAATAGTCTCTTCTAATCTTTTTGCAATCTGAATAACAGACTCCCGTTTCTTCTTCGGCTTCTTCTGTTCTCTTGCCTCATCGCGCTCTGGGGGTTTTGGCGGTTTTACTGGTTCTTCAACAGTTATTTGCTCAGGTAGTGTGCATTCTGGCATTATAAGAGGCTGAAGAGGTTGACGTTCTGGTCTTCCCAACTCAGGTAACATGGCTGGTGCCGCAGGCTCTTGTGGGGGAACTTGGGCAAAAATTTTTGTCTGTACATTAGATGATGTAACAAACATCGTTTTCATTTCTCTGTTTATTGATGATGATACTGCATTTGTACTAAATTCACCATGTTGTATGTTCTCATCAAGTCTAGGTGACCATGGCTGTTGTAACACAATTTGGGATGGCTCTGGGCTTGGTTCTGCAGGCACTGGTTGAGGAGAAGGCATGAATTCAATTACCTGTTCACTTTCTGGAACAAAATACTCCAATATATCATCCTCTGGTGAAGATTTCAGAACTTGTTTTGGATGTGTGTCATCTGTCTGCTGTGGACAAGGTTCTACAATGGGTTCAGGAACTAGAGGCTCGGGGGTAATGGTACTCTCAGGAATAATGAGCTCAACTGGCTCAGGCTGAGTGGGCTGTAGAGTAAAGTCTAGTGCAGGTGAAACTTCCACAGTGTGTTCAGAGGGTGGACTTGACACTCCTGTTGTGTACACTTTAGTCTCAACTGTAGAATAGCTACTTTTGGACATTGAACGTTTGGACTCATAGAAGCTCTTTTCAGTTGTGCTGGTCTCTGTCTTTACTTCTCTTTTTGTTTGGGGTTCATAATCATATGGGATAAACTCTTCAGTGACCTGTTCTACAACTGGAACAACAACTGTGGCTGGTTCTGGAGTAGGAACTCTGGGTGGTTCTGGAGTAGGAACTCTGGGTGGCTCTGGAGTAGGAACTCTGGGTGGCTCTGGAGTAGGAGCTCTGGGTGGCTCTGGAGTTGGAACTCTGGGTGGCTCTGGAGTTGGAACTCTGGGTGGTTCTGGAGTTGGAACTCTGGGTGGCTCTGGAGTTGGAACTCTGGGTGGCTCTGGAGTTGGAACTCTGGGTGGCTCTGGAGTTGGAACTCTGGGTGGCTCTGGAGTTGGAACTCTGGGTGGCTCTGGAGTTGGAACTCTGGGTGGCTCTGGAGTTGGAACTCTGGGTGGCTCCGGAGTTGGAACTCTGGGTGGCTCTGGAGTTGGAACTCTGGGTGGCTCTGGAGTTGGAACAGGCTCAGGTACCACCTCAGGAACAGGAGATAAAATCTTATATGGTTCCATCTTGGGCACAGTTACTCTTTTAAATTCTTGCCTTAACTGAACATCAGATTCAAAGCGCTCAATTACTTTCACTTCTTTTATTTTCTCGGGCTCACGAGGAGAAACAAATTCAACATGTGGCTCTGGCACACATACAGGTTCAGGTGACTGTACTACATGATACTCAGGTTCTGGTTCATAAACTAATACTGGCTCTGGCTCTGGCTGGACTTCAGGGACCAATTCATACTGTATCTCTGGTTGTGGTTCTTCCACCACCATGGCCTCTGGAGGAGTCAAGTATCCATACTCAGGTGCTGGTTCTGGCTGAAGTTCAATATTCAGTTCTTCTGGAAGCTTTGGAGGTGGTCTAGGTTTTGGAATTTGTTTTGGAAGCATACTTTGACTTACATATGATGACTGCATTTCACTTGAGGCTGAAAATGATGAAATGATGGAGGACACGTTGCGAGACGTTATCTCCACACTCGTGTCAATTTTGGGGACGTGTTCTGCTTCATCATCATCAGGTGGTGGTGGTGGCCATGCCTTTTTCAGTTTACCTGGAAGTCGTTTAACATCCACCTCCTCTTCACTCATGGGCTCAGGAGGAGGAGCTTGTGGAACACTGGGAGGAGTTGGGAGGACTTGAGTGGTGGTGGGTGATTCAAAAGAAGGCTTGGGAATGGGAGCCTTGAGGATTTTTAAAGGGGAAGAGGAAGATGATGTCTCTACTGCAACTTCCTCTATAGCTCGTTTTATAGTTTTCACATGCCCTTCTTCAAGAGATTCGATATTCCTCTGTACAGCAAGAAGATGAGAAAGGAGAGATGACAGTGTTGCCTCCACCAAGAGAGAAATCAGAAACATGAGATATGTACAAAACATTATGAATAAGTTGATAATTATTCCTTTCCTGTAGTCCCACACCAAAGTGTTTAGAAACACAAACAACTTATAAGCAAAACCCTTTGTAGTTGGGAGAATATGAGCAATTGAAAGAACAAAACATAGCAGTGAGAGTGACATTAGACATCTAAGTAAAAATGTGCATCTTGTCTACAAGTGCAATAAAAAATAAGTACAGTAGTTTGAATGGAAACACTTGGAAACTATTCTGGAGTTATCACTTTTGTTTTAATGTTTCAACTGTATACATGCATTCTTACACTTCTGATTCATGTATTCACTGTATACATACATTCATACATTATTTTACATATCAACTGTATACATGCGTTCTTACACTTCTGATTCATGTATTCACTGTATGCATACATTCATACATTATTTTACATATCAACTGTATACATACATGCTTTTACTTTGGTTTATGCATTATATATACTGTAAATACATTCTTATGCATTTCTGTATATAATAATAATGTGCAATACTGTCCTGAATAATTCATTATTTCTCCACTTATCAGCTTATTAGCCATTTGGGTAGTTGGTCTGTTCTTTGTTACTGGTACTTTGGACACACATTGTTAGATCAGGAGGGAACCTGTGATGTTTGGTAAAGTGATCAAAGTGATGTATCATTTAAGACATTTTGGGGGGTAAACAGACACACACAATTAACTATAGTACAGCACATATACTGTACACAAATATAAATGTATACAAACCAAATGAAAATATTACATTGCTCCATCTCACTACAAGATTACATGACGAATTTTATCAAAGTACTGTACCATACTGTACAAATGTAGAGTAATATAAACTCCCAGTTTCTGATTAATATAGTACCTGTATAGTATTTAAAATGGGAGCCTTCAGTACACAAGGAGGCAGTGTGGCTGGCACTACACTCAACCACCTTCACTTTTCCTAAATGTAAAATTCAGATTTAATGGACTTAGGCCACATGAATCTAACCTAAATATACTGTTAATGAATATGATGTATTTCTTTGTGTATGAACCTCTGTCCTGCATGGCAGTGAGAAGTGATACCACCCTCAGTGTCAAGACCTGACTGAATTACTCAGAATAGGCAAACTGTACTCCAAGCTTTGTCAATAAATTTGTTAAACTAAAAAAATAAGGCAACCTGAGCAAAGACCATCAACCTTTGAAACAATAGTGAACAGTGTAACCACATGAAGGCCACACTACACAATGGTTTACTGAACTACCAATACTATAGGACGTCTGGATAATTCAATTATTCATCGTGGCTCAGGTAGTGACAAAATCTCTAACATTCCTCTGACATATTCTTACCAAAACTCATAACCACATTTTATACCAATAAAATATGATATAAAATATAATACTGTATTAATGCATTATAACACAAATTTTTAACCTGATTCTAATAAATACCATTGAGATACAGTATATGAAAGTTTAAATGTCTGACTAAACCTCAGGATTACAAAAGAATGATTCAAGATAGCTACAGTAATTAGCAGTACAGTATGTAACAATCATTATGTATTGTTAAAGATCCTAACAGTAAGCATAACTTTTATTCATTACACTGTAACAATAAACACTGCACATGGTGCCTGTTTGACATGACAAGGCAAACTGCAACAGTGTAATCTTTAATAATGAAAATGGAAACTGTAACAGCTGAACATGACAGCCTGCAACATGGATTCCATAATTAGCAGCAGGTGGTGTGAAAATGCTGATTTCTTTAAGCTGACAGCTTTGTAAATGCCAGTAAGCAAGGATAGACTTGTATAACAAGATGTCAGAGAATTAGTACCAGAGAAAAGTGAAAATGTGCACAAACTCTGCCAAGAACTGCCCCTCAATAACCTGGACAATGCAGATCACAAAATTATAGTCATCTCCCTCTTTTTTTTTATTAAGTTTATTGGAAATATGATTTGAATTTCTAAACTTATAAGCCTGGAGAGTAACTTATTCCTTAAGAACTTCAAACTCAATGTATTATAAAACTTTAGCATGGTAGTAAAACAAGAAAACTAAAAGAAATATCAGTCAAGCATATGCCTCACAAATGCAGTTTATTGTATAATGTAATATGTGAATAAAGCAAACTAACTAGTGTTGCCACCTGTAGAGCACTGCATGCAAATTGGCTCACATACTTCTATACACAGTCATTAATACTTGTATATTTTACCTTGACCTGCTGTATAGTCTCTGAGCATTTAGAAGTTTATTACCACTTACAGTATAGACCAACATTTACACATACTGATTAAGAACAATGTCATATGTTTATCAAATTATTTCTTAATAAACCTTTGTCAATTCCAAAATTCCTCCTGACAGAGTTAGTACTTAATTCAACTCATCTCTCTATCTACTGAACTGTACAATATATCCAATAGTCCATCTCCTTGGCCTTTTCAACCTTTCTAACATCTTCATGTACTCTAACTTTAATTTCTTCATAAATGTCACTTAATATATTCTCATATCATCAGTAGAAATGATACTTTTTCATATTTTTTAACCCAAAAAGTTTCATACATTATCCTTGCCTCATCCATCTAAAAAACTGAACATCAAATTTGCTCTCATAAATTGAGACATCCACTGTCTCTCTCCCTCACTAACACACAAGAAACTGCATGTCCTATACTGTTACAGCATACTGTAATATGGCCAACTCAAGGGCAACATTGATTACTTCTGCCTCTTTGGGTCACCTGGTTAAATACTCAGGGATTACAATTATTTAGGTTTACATCTACTCTGTCTTCATATTCTTCCACTCTCCCAAAGTAAACTTTTTTGCATTCTTCAACTTTTGACTGTTTATCTTATACAATATTCATATAATTTTAAATCGTGCACATGAAGCAAAAATAATGTATAATATTTTCAGTTTGGTTTGTAGGTACAGCATACAGTATATGTATGTATGTATGCACAGTACAGGTATTTCTGCAACTGACAATCATATGGCCAGGCAAATAGGTAGGGCTTATACTTCCTGGGATGCAACTTCAGTCCTCCTGAGATGGAGGCCTTAACAGAAGAGCCTCCAGGCCATCCCATCATATCATCATCATTAATGTTTTACGGCCATATTCCACGCTTATGTGGGTTAGCCATGATTATCAGACGGCAGCTGTTGGGTAAAATCAGAACTGGATGTTCCCCTGTCCTCACCACCACAAACCTAGGGTGCTAGCCTAGAAAATGCAACAGAAACCAGGGGATGGGCACAGCTGTGGTGACCTAGTTGCCATCAAGCATGTTGAAGCAGTTTTATGGCTGGTTGCCCTTCCTAACACCTACCCACAGGGTGGGAACAGCTGGCAAGGCAGAGTCACAACTCCCTGAGATAATGAAAAACTGTCTGCCTACACATATCTCCTTTGCACTCTATATGTTCCCCATTACCTCACCTATTTTCCTAAGGCACATAGTAGAACATTTATTTTCATGTAACTGTGAAACTATTTGCAGTTATTATTTTTATTACTTTGAAAAATACCAGAGAAAAAAAATCTTGACCCACCAAAAAGAAGAAAAAATATTGGACTTTATTATCACAGACTTTTCACCAGATGAATACCCACAGTCATATGAAAACTGATAAAATTATCATGTTTCAAACTCCACACTGCTTCTTCCTGTACTTAATGAATCTCATCCCTTCAATTAGTCAATTCAAAACATGAATATCCCTTGTCACATCTCTGTTAGGTCTTTTTCAAGACAAGATTCAAATTATAACTCCAGACATCTCTAACTTTTGCTTCATTAAGTACTGTACCCAGGTATACAATTTTTCATAGAATAAACATATTTATAACCCATGCTTTCCACTTGGATGTCTCTCTACACACTCATGCATACACACACACCAAAAAATAATGAAACATCTATACTTGAAGTAAAAACTTTATTAAAATAGCAGAAACTTCTATCATTATGTGGGTATTATTTCCAAAGCTGATATTTAAGTTACAGTGAACCTTTGTAACCCTGAGCACTGCATTAACTCACATTCCTCTTACTGTACTCCCAGTGTTCAAAGTGTATGACAGCCGCCTCAAGTAATAATTCCAGAATATATCCCTACAGCTTGTATTAAGTGAAGTGAGTAGAGTAAGGGATTATCCATCACCATACTATATATACATTGACTGTGGTCTTATAGTCAAATTAGGACAAACTGTCTGTACATGGCTCGATACACGTATTGGATTGAGATACTGTACATGCTTATAAATTTATTTACATTGTACTAAAACTTAAAAGTAATTTTGAGGGCAGAGCCATTTACTGTGTTCATATAAGAGTTCTTAGTGACAAAAAAAATTATGAACATTGAGGCATGCTGGTGATCAAGTTAAGTGCCAATGAAAAATTACTGAGTGTTCACAGTGAACAACTTAGGACATACTGCACAGTAAAATCAAACAATAGCCATTACCTATATTTCTGCCATGTTAAGATCAGATTGCTTGTTTTTCTGAGAAGAGGAGAAGTAAAGTAAAATATAAGAACAACTCTGGTACCTTAGCTTCGTCACTTATGTCTGTAAACATAATTCTGTGCGAGGGAGGAGCCTTGTCCAGAATCAACTGTGTTACCATGACATCAGCCAAAGACTCGGCACGACCAGCCGGGTTGGATGCTATCACACCATATCTTCCTGAGTCTCCAGGTTCAGCTACAAATTTCACCATAATATTGACAAAATGAAAAAAATTCTTAATACTTAAAACTTCTCTATTAAGGGAGAGTAAAAGTTATAAGACTACACTAGCAATAGTGATTACTTTACAATTACTGGACAATGACAGCACAGTATACAGTACTTTAGCATTTTTAAGTATTTATATAACAGTTCCTATAATGCAATAAAAATAAAATACTGTATAGTATATTAATAAACATACCTTGTTGAATGATTAGTAAGTGCCTTGTACCTTCCGATCTCAAAGTAATATGGTCATTTGCACTTAGTGGCTGGCCATCTTTTGACCATGTAACTTGTGGTAACGGAGTGCCAGTGACATCAATCTCCAAATGAAGACGTTCATTCACTCCCACTACAGCTGGCTGCAGCCTTTTGGATATTACAGGTGGGAACTGTGTCTCTGTTGAAATAATAACAATTTATATATTAATAGGGAGACCTCAGAAATGGAAGTCTCAAAATTGTACAAAGCATAGTTGTTCAAAGAAATAAAAGGACAATGTGAATAATGATGATAAACAGCAGATTAACAGCACAAGGAAGATAGTCCAAGATGCAATTATTTTTCTGCATTCTTATAATTTTTTCTTCTTCACAAGTCTACATCTCTCAGAACTATCGGTAACAAAGCTGACAGAATTTATACCACATTTTAACAGGATGAAACAACTCAGCAAAAGAAAAGTCACTTTATTCTGAGAATTTCAATGTGAGTACTGTACTGTACAACAAAGGACACACATTAGTCAGTAGAGAGGGATGAATTGTTTGTGTGGGTGTGTAGCAAACTTCTGAAATGACTTAAGTGCATGAAGTACTGTACATGCATTGGAACTAGACAAAGGTTTTCTGACCTAAAATGAGAAGGAAGAGGAAAAGTGAAGAAAAGGAAGTGGAGGAAGATGTAGAAAAAGACATGAAAGAAATAGATTTAACAAAAGTGTGATAATAATTAAAGAACAAAACAGGTGAGAGAATAGACAGCAGATAGAGTGACTGGAAGTTCTAGTTACCTAAAGCTTTAAAATAAGAGGTGTGGACGCTTAACACTATACAGTACCATGAGAAATAGTTACACTTACTCTTGACAATCACATCACAGGTACATTGAGCCGAGCCAGTCTCATTCTCTATGGCACAGGTGTAGTGTCCAGAGTGGCTCTGCTTGACCCTTGGAATGATCAAGGTTGCCTTATTAAGGTTTGCCGTCACTTGTGCTTCATGGCTTACTGGTCCACCATTATGGGTCCATGTCACTACTGGATCTGGGAAGCCTACAAAATAGGAGAAAAGATTATAAGTACAGTACAATATGTATTCTTTCTTGAGGCAGATATTTTCCCAATACATATAACATGTTATCACCTGCTCTCAAACTCTGGCACATGAAGATTTGTACTGTATCAAACCTCATTCACACATTTAATCACAATAGAAGGAAAGAATACAAACATATGTCAGTACACAAGGTTATAGCCATAATAAGAAAAAAGTGGAAGCATAACTGTCAAAGTGTTTGTTAAATTCCCACTTTTATATTATACCAATTAAAACACATTAAATAAAATTTGATCCTGAGTTGTGACCATGACCTGTTACTGTACTTGTTGCAATAATAATTATTCATATGAACTTTCTTGAAAATGTACTGTGTGCACAATATTGATACTGCACATAAACATGAGTTACGCTAATACTGTAACTAGCATTATGACCTTTATCCTTTATAATCTAACCTTTGTCTAGTAATGATACAAGTATACTGTACTGTACAGTATTTCATAAGTTTCACCAGAGTATATTTATTGATAAAATAATTATATTTCCAACAGTGGAAATTTTACATAGAGCCTAACAGATGGTGGTCCCACTTACAGCACATCTCTCTTTCAACAAGCATACAATATAAAATGAAGACTCAAAAGGGGAATAACTTACCATCAATGATGCACTCAAGCACAATTTGTTCACCCTCCTTGGTAATGACACCTTGAAGAGGAGTTAAGAACCTTGCTGGTGTTGACTTCTTCTTTGCTATAACAATTTTCTTTGCAGGTGGAGAGATCAGGATGGTGCTGGAGTCTTGACTGACCTGCTGAGTAACTATTTCACCTTCTCTCTTGACCAAGCTCACCTGAAGATCATCATTATCAAATACATTAGATAATACGGCTGAGTCGGCTATACAGTATATACTCTCGATTTAATGAAATCCGATATAACGCACTCGATTTAGCGGAAGAAATTTTTTTCTGCTATTTTTTGCTCGATTTAGTGAATTAATTCATTAAATTGAGTGAAAATAACAGAAATTTGATTTAGCAGAAATTTTTATTTAACAGAAAGGGTGGCTTGATTTAGTTTGTTAAATCGAGAAAATAATGTACAGTATAAACAATGTGGTGCTCAATTAACTCGGTCCACATCTACCAAACTGCTGATGGCAGACTTGCATTTGTTAATGTTAAGGAATATCTTTAATGTGATGGATTTTAGAAAAAAAATTTATCCACAAAATTTACATTCTTTAATATTCACAAAAGAGTGAATACTGGTAAATCCAGACATTTTACAATGTCAGGTAAGGAAATGTCCAGTAAAAAATATCAGAAGCTGAAACAAAGACTGAGTGTTGCAAGGGACAAACAAGGTCTTCATAACAATAACTCTCACCTTGTCAGTGACTGATGGTGGGGCTCCTCCCTCCTGTCTCATCTCCTGTAAACGTGCACCATGAACCTGCCACAAATACCCAGATTAAAAGAGCTAGAAATGAAGGTAATCATTCCACAACACTGGCTCACAGACCCATAATTAGGGTGGTGATTTTCTAGTACAGTTTTTGATGCCGATTATGGCATGAAAAACATTTTTAATGCTGAATACATTGGTGATATTGAAAGTTTGGGGAAATACATATGGTAATTATTGAGTTATGACCCTTCCTACCCATCTTGACCCCACCAAAGGTAGGCAGGACTTCCAAGTAGGGTAAAAATGTAGGGTGTAAAACCATAACTAAAAGAACCTAATGTAACCAACATCAAAACCTATACTAGTAAATTACCTCCCTAGTTATGTGGCTCGTAAGCTGGTGTTTGGTGTATAAATACCAGAATAAATAATAATAATATACCCAAGGTCTTCAAATATACACATTAAAGAGTCATAAAATATTAGACTTGGTTAATGAAATATAGCAGTGTGTTCACCTCTACAGTCGGCTGCCCTGTAGCCTTCTTAACCTGAGATGTGGAGGTGGCGGCCATGCTGTGCTTCTTCTCGTCAGCGGTGCCATCTGAGGAGACCACTTGAGTGAAGTGGCTTGACTCAATGATGGTACTTTGCTGGTATGTGGAGGAGGAGGACGTGTTGGAGGTGACAAAGGTCTCCTCCCTCGTTGTTTGGTGGACAGGCATAATTGGTTGGACCTCTAGGGCTACAGGTTCTGTAAGATAAAAAATAAATACAGACAATATGTTCCATTTGATCTATTGCAACATTTTTCTTTTGCCTCTTCGTTAACAGCCCACCACTGCTAGGCTTATGAGTGACTAGACAGAAGGGTTGGTACGGTAATGCCAAAGGCAGAGACCAGGGCTGCCGTTTTGAGGAATATTGTCTGTTAACGAGGAAACATATGACTGTTGGTGACGTCATGAGGAGAGGCCGTCCACATTCTACATCACCGAGACGCCATGAGGAATATATTCCTCATTGTTCAAGAAATGCATATAAAATGTAAAGGACTTAATAATTTTTTCTTCAGTAATATACTGTATATGACTTTTTTTTTATCAACTCCTTTAGTATATATCAACAGATAATGCATGGTATAAATGGATTGTGGGTAATAAATGACGTGGAAACAGGGCCGGATTCAGGAGTGGGCAAAGTGTGCAGCTGCCTCCACAATCTGGGGGCCTCCACATATTACAATATTTTATTTATTTGTTTATTTATTTGGATTATTTTTATTTTCATTCTTTAAAATTCATGTTTATCTATTCCATCACGTCTCCAGTCATGTCTCACTTTTTTGTGTGGGTGTGTGTTGGGAATTTGTACACTATATATAAATATACGTACAGTTAATTAAAAATTTCTCAATGTTCTAATTTCCTCAATATAACTGCATATGGCTTCAAAATTCTCCAAAGAAATGTTCAAATTTCAAAATTTTCCCGGAACTCCCAGATGTTTAGGCTCAATTCACTCGCCACCCCACCCTCTTGGGAAGTTATAATGAGGGCTGCCCATGGGCCTCCACAGGTCTAAATCCGGCACTGCGTGGAAAATCAACATGGGACCCTCAATTGATGTGGAAACCCCACGTTGTTCTCGTCCGTGGATATGGTAAGAGCTCTCATCATCAGCCAAGTATCATCAGCTAGACGTACTCACAGAACTCTATCTACAAGCCGGTAAGGATATATTTATTTATGTAATTGGCATGTAATTAATCACAGCTTTCATCACTATGTAGCAGTTACTTATACCTTAACCGTTTTCTTTTATCAGTGTATCAACAGAAATGATTAGATACATTAAATCTTTACACCCTATTCATTTGTTGCCGATATTATTCCAAAGGGCCAAATATACATTATTTTCCTGTGCACTTATAAAGGACTATGCAAGTAGCCTAGAATGATCATGGCAATTATTCACTGATTTAGTTATTCTTGGGTTTGCAGGGAAGACTACACAAAAGTTGTTCAAATCTCCTATTGCAGGTGGTGATGGCTGCGAAGCGGAGCTTCAGAGATGCATGGCTGAACAATGAAGATTTCCAGCCCTGGTTGTCCCGTGTTGAGGGCAATCTATCTAGGGCCTTTTGCAAAATATGAAAGAGGGAAGCGAGTGCAGAGTTGACAGCCATCAAACGTCACAAAACGACAAAGATGCATGCAGTTTATGAGGCCTCGGAACAACAGGAGGTCCAGCAGGAGAAGATCCCGGTCCATCATAGGAACTATGCAGCAAATGGAGTAGCCGTAGCAACAATTCTTTTTGCTTGCTTCATAGCCGAGCACAACTTGCTATTTACCACTGCAGATCATTTAGTAGACGTCATGAAGAGGATGTTTCCTGATTCTGCAATTGCTCAAGTCATGAACATGATGCACAAAGGTTGTGAGGACGTTAGGACGGTGTGTCACCGAGGATTAGTAGATAAACTTAGAGAAAGTAAATTTTCCATTATTGTTGACGAAACAACAGACATTAGTACGATGAAAGCATCCTCTGTTCTCGTAAGATTTGGGGATTCAACCACAAACAGCATTAAATTTGGGTTATTAAAGGTGATCAATGTATATGGTGATGAATCATCTACAGGGTCAACAGTGGAAAATTTGTATAATTTAATTATGAAAACATTAGAAACACACCGAATTCCACATGGGAACCTGATTGGCTTTGCTGCTGACGGCGCTAGTAACATTATGGGAGAACACAATTCTGTAAGCAGCAGACTAAGTATCACTATTCCTGGTATAACCATATTGATATGTATTTGTCATTCTATTCACTTATGCGCTTCGGAGACGCTACCACGGCGTTGTGAAGACATGATAAGACTTATATATACCTCTTTTTCCCATAGTGCTAAACGACAACATGAATTTAAGGAATTTCAATCATTCTGTACTGTCAAACCACACAAAGTTCTGCATGTTAACCAGACCCGCTGGTTATCATTCCACCAGGCAGTTGAATGAGTATTAGAGCAGTGGCAGCCCCTAAAAATGTTTTTTACTTTAAAAGAATCAGAGGAAAGATTGGTGGCCGTGTAGTGGATCTCTCCCCTATAACTGCGTATCCGCATTCCGATGCGACAGTATCCTAGCAACCAGCGATCTGCTCAGGGGGGGGGTCGCCACCTGCTACGTCTACCCTAACAACGGAGTCCAGCAACCGGCGAGTTCCCACGGGTTTACTTCCGGCTGCTGTGTATATAAGCTCTCAGTCTCTCTATTGAGAGGCATTCTACCCTACGTTCCTGAACACGCAACACCTCCTCCAAGCAAGCTCCTCGCTGTCCAGCTCTCATTCAACCTGGAGGACAGCAACACGCAACACCTCCTCTAACGAAGCTCCTGCACAGATGCCTCCTCAAGCACGCTACTCACTGAACGTGTCTCTTGAGCAAGCTTCTCACCACACGGCATCTCCAGCACCAGACTGTCTTGTATATAATATATTTTATATAAGAAAACCACCACCTAGAGTTCCCATCCATCCATCCTGAGTGCTAGACAACATAACATCACGAAAGCCGTACAACAAATAGCAGAGAGTCTTAGGGACCCTTCACTTTTATTGTACTACAATTTTCTTAATTTCATATTGTTACACGATAGTATATGTCAGCTTTACAGGAATCTTTTGGGATATTTTTATCATGAAGTTTTTCAAACGGGTAATCTTGATGCAGTTGATCCCAGAAATGAAGAAAATCACCTCCCAATAAGCCAAATATACTTGGGGGTAACAATACATGGCCTACTGCAAAGTGAACAATATAGAGAACTCCCTTAATATGGTCAAGGATGTACAATTCAGATGTCGTATCTTCATGATAAACCTTTGTGTGCAATTACGTCAAAGATTTGAGTTTGGCAGCAAGTTTTTATGGATGTGTTCATTTTTGTCATCAAATAGGGTATTTGATAATAAATCCAGGAAGGAGATGCCATCCTTATACGACTTAGTGAAGGCGGTGCCCACATATACAGTGGCAGTATACAAGTTTTAGACGATCAATGGAGAGACTTAGATGTGATTGCTATACCACCCGAGATTAAGGACAGCAGTGACATAGTGGACGTTTATACAAAACTAGGGGAACTTAAGGACGGTGTAGGTGTTTCCCAATTTAAGGACCTTTGTACATTGGCTTTGCAGGTATTGTCTCTTCCAACATCCAATGCAGATGCAGAGAGACTATTTTCTAAATTGAATTTAATGAAAACAAAATCCAGAAACGCTCTGCAAACTCCCTCTATTAATTCATTAATAGCCTTGTCTGAGGCTGTGAAATTCCAGGGTGGATGTATAAATTTTACACCAAATCAGAGGATGCTAACTTCTGTTTGATATTTTTTGTTCAATTAGTGTTTAATGTTCCCATGTTATGTTATAATATTATATGGTTGTAGGGTTTTTGTATGTGCATATTTATATTTTACCAAGGCATTACAATACTTATACCTAAAATTCATGCTTTTTAATGTCCATTAATGCCCAACGAATACGTGAGGAAAAATGACGTCATAGAGTTGAGGAATAAACGGCAGCGCTGGCAGAGACACGTCGGGGTGATGCAAGTGCCTCGTGGGGCCTCTGTCACCCCCACAAGTTCGACCCACAAGTTCGAGTCTCTCCCCCCCCCCTTGTGTTATTTTAGTGGAAGCTTCCCTGGCATTCCTAGTCTTTCGTTTCAAAAGTAATCCTAGCATATATATATATATATATATATATATATATATATATATATATATATATATATATATATATATATAGGCTATATATATATATATATATATATATATATATATATATATGTATATATATATATATATATATATATATATATATATATATATATTATATATATATATATATATATATATATATATATATATATATATATATATATATATATATATATATATATATATATATATATATATATATATATATATATATATATATATATATATATATATATATATATATATATATATATATATATATATATATATATATATATATAAAGCACCTACTGTTTTCCAAAGAATCCTTTACATGGCCACCAGGTGTTATAATAAAAGTATTTTCACAAGGCCCTTAATTAGATTCATCGTGCACACATGCATAAGACACACGTACAACTAAAGGTGATATGCATTAAGAGAATAACTCCAAACTCCAAAGGTATTAGGTCATAGCCCAGAATACCCCTAGGCAGTCTACAGTCGAGCTCCGGCGTCAGCCACACCCGCCCTCCTCACACTGCCAACACCCACATGGGAACTGCTCTATACTAAGCATCAAACACAGCTAAAATCCTTACAGTGTTCAGCATTCAGTATATTAGCATTTAAAAAGCACGTTTTAGCCCCAATTTACTCTTTGATACCTAGTATTTAATTTAATAGACAGTCATACACTAAAACTTTCAAGGTTGTACTGGCTAACGTCGTCTCAAACCTCTAAGTGGCAGTATCTTCTGGTGAAGGTTATCATTTCCAGTAATATGTATCAAAGGCTTCCAGTAACACACACACACACACACACACACACACACACACACACACACACACACACACACACACACACACACACACACACACACACACACACACACACACACACACACACACACACACACACACACACACACACACACACACACACACACACACACACACACACACACAC